TTGATCCATCAAATGCCAGAGGCCTGTGCCATGAAGAAGACTGTGAATTGAACTAACCATTCGTAGTTTGGGGGCATGTTAATACATAGATGCTGTTTACTGGCTTTGTTGCACTAAAATTTCTCGCAAACACAATGACTAAGTAAAAATGGGAAGACCTATGAGAGGCAGCCCCAGCAGTCAGGCCGGGTGCTAAGCTGGGTGTTGTTCCTTCTCTGTGGATCCTGGTTAGGACAACATCAAATTCCCTTACTGCTCCCTCCCTTTGCCTGCCTTGTCTGGTGTTCCTTGGAGCAGTGCTGGTGTCTATAAGGCCAAGTACAGCAGGACTCCCTAATCTTGTTTAGGAACTTCAGGCGCCTTGCATACAGATACGTATGATTAGTATACATCCCCAAGATTACACATTACACGGGATACGTTCCCAACATGCAACTGTGCACGTTGGGAAGAACGATTGATATCGTTGCAAGTGTGCAGCTTTTATCCAGTACACGAAGGCCCAGACACTGGGGTATCGTAAACAGGGATACTCCGTGCAGTCCTTGAAACAGAGTGTGCCAGGTCTGGTGGATGGGCAGACGCAGTGAAACTGCACTGTCTGCATATCTGGAGCTGCTGTCGCTCATACCCATCTCCAGCTCAACAGCCAGGCTTGAGGATACGTGCATCAAACAGCTCACATACCAAGGAGGAATTGTTGCATCTTCAAAGCAGGGGTTTAGCAAAAGAGGGCTGATGAAACAGAGGGCCAGGTGGCAACGCAGGTTGATCAGAGGCAAAAATGCTTCTACCTAAATACTCTTTTTATCCTGGAGATACAGCGGGCTGTGTTTTGAGGCAGCTCTTAGAATGTATGAGCAAAAAGGTAACAAGCTGCAGTTATTTTTCACTGTCTGAAGTTCTTCCACCCACAGATTACTAGCAGGGGTGTCTGGCTGGGAGCTGTACTGTAAATGAGTGTTGGGTATGTCCTTGCTTATGTGCACATGTACACATGTATCATAGTACCGTATCGCATTTGGAATCCTTTCCTTACTTCCTGTTGTTGTTCGGTCTTTGTCTACTGCTTGTTTACTTGACGGCAGTGAGCAGTACTTGAGATGTGCTGCTCTAATTCCCTGTCTATACCCTGCATAACACAGTGAAATTCAGAAACCGTTTTCCCTACAGTTATCAGCATTTTCAGGGCTAGTTTGTGCTAATAAAGGTGAAGGCACAGTGTTCATATATACAGTATTGATATATACAGCTGCACTCCCGTAGCTGGAGACACAGCTATGCAGCTGGTTGTTAACCACCATAGGCAAGGCAGTTGGAATGGGATTTAAGATGAGGCACATAAGAAAACCTGAAGCATTTGGCAGGTGTATGGCTGAGCTGCTGACCCAGCTGGGTTGCTTTGACCCTCATTTTTGTTTTGCTTCTCTAAATCTCTAGCTGCAGCTTTGTGTTGCTTGTGTTTACAAAGTTGATGTTAAGGGAGAGATATTACCTCTTACTTAAAAGGAAGAATCCCCATTAAGATGTACTCAGCTTCAGGAGAGAGTTTACAATTGCTGATCAAATATTAAGCCCTGATCCCCCAGGGCTTAACTGTACCGCTGGTGAGCTGAAGCCTGGAGCACGTATGCTGAAGGGAAGGGGCAGGGAAGGCCTGTGGCACTTCCACAGCTTGGAAACACGAGTCATGGCAACAGTTATCAGGAAGGCCATTTTCTAGGCTTCGTTATTTCAGAGTACTGAAGGGCTGTCTGTGTTGGGAAAAGGTTATGGTAGGAACATGCAACCCCACTGCTTCCTGTCATGCAGTGCTGAAAGGCAGTGAGATACCTGCAGGTGTAGGGTAAACAGGTTTTCTTCACTGTTATGGAAACAGTGATTAAAATGGTCTCGGCTGCCTTTGCTATAATAATGGTGCTGTTTTTCTCTTAAGTTTTCATTTTTAGGCCACTCACAGCAATATTTACCGTAGAAATGGTCACCAATGAACTTTGCCTGAAGAAGGTAATTTCTCCTGTTACATAGAGACCCTGGAGCTTCCACAAGGAACAGTTTGATGACTGGCTGGTGCTGGGCACGGTGGGGGAAATGGGCAGAGTTGAGGATAGGTGTAGCTATACCAGCTGCCATTCTTTGAACAGGATCTACTTCCAGCATTTTTCTGCTGGAAAGCAGACGAGTGTAAAACCTAAGACAGAATAACAGCTCAGCTTTAAAGCCTGTGGGAACATACCAGTATTGAACTGAGCACATCAACTCTGAAGATGTTGCGCTGTAGGGAACAGATGGGTAAGGAAGGACAGTAAAACACAAGGCGAATGAAGTTCTTCAAAGGCAGGCATGTACCAGCTGTTTCTATTTTTGAGTTGTGAAATGGTTTTAGTAGCACTGGAGATCAAAAAACAAACTGTTCATTTATGGCATAGCCCATTCTAACCAAAACTCCAGAGAGCCTGGAAATATTACAGCCTACTTAGAAACTCCCATTAGCAAGTTCTTTTGTTTTTAATAAATAATGTCCCATAGAAACAGAAAGTATTTACAATTAGATCAAAATTCTGAATGTAATTCACAAGAGAAAATGCTATTTTTTGAGAAAATGTTTTCGTATCCTCATAACAGTCATTTGTTCTAAATTAGTACATAGCGATTGCCCATGAAATGAACATTTTTCCCTTAAGACCGATTTTTGTAGAGAAGTATTTTAGGCCAAACTTCCTAAGCATGATGTAACCGTTTTAAATCAGAACATTTCTGTGATTAGTAATTCACATGAAAATTAACATTTTCCATCACTTGAGGAAAACATGATGCATAATTATCAAAATGTAAGAGAAGACATGATGTGGGAAGAACAATAGTTTATTAGAGCCGCTTATACAGTTGAAAGAAAAGTATAGGCTTTGGGGCAGTCAGGGCCTTCATCCTAATAGAGGATAACACCTCTTCCAGCAAAACTGTCTTCTCTTTTATCCTATGAATATGATCATGCTGCCACTCTCAGAATATATGGATTGCATATGTCCATGTTGGATAGAATGGCTTAAACCCTAGCGCTGCCAAACTGCTACTGTCAAAAATACTACTACTTGCACTAAAGTGGGATTAAGCTCTTTGAGTTAATGTGCTTCTTGGTTACACAGTTTCTTTCTGTAACAATGTAATGGGCTTAATTTCGTTGTCAGTGCATCTCTTCCACTGTCCTTTGCAAACAAGTTTTAATATTACCTACACAAGAACGTGCCCTAGAGTTCTTCTTTATTTAAAACTAATTCTGAAGTCTCATTTCTAGTGAAGCCAACGAACGTGAAACTGGATTTTATTGCTGTGTGGTACTATTACAGGAATGCAGTGTTGGAGCTGTGGTCCATCTCAGAGCCAGTTAATTGTTGGTATGTCCTCCTACAGGGGCGGATGAACTCTGCAGTTAAGTAGAAGCTCTTCCACTAAGGGATAGATGGCAAAGTTTCAAATGTCCAGTGGAAAACAGCTTAAAATGAGAAGAGAGAACATATGTTCCCCTCAGAATCTGATGCTCTGCTAGCACGTGTCTAGCTTGAAATGTGCAGGAAACATGCAGTCTTGAGCATTAACATGCAATATTCCATTTGCTTTAGGCAACCCTTTCTAAGTTACCTGGAATGATCTCATTGTGAACTTGGTGAAGATCAAAGCTGTTCACTTTAGCCTTACAGTGACTTCATCTCAGTGCAATTTCACCTGTGGGTTTTAAACCTTGAGGCTGCATGATCCAATTCTCCACACTTCCTGGTGGACATAACTCCTACTACTGACCATGGGCCCGGAGGTTATCTGAAATTAGGAGGAAACGCTTCTAGGTGCAGAAGGCATGAGCTCAAGGATTTATTTTACTATTTGACTCTGTCAGCCTGTTTATTGCACAGTTTGCACCAACGCAGAACTTCAAGGTCTGCATCGGGGTTAAGGCCAATTTATCATCCCTGAAAATCCAGTCTGCTCACATCTACACTTACATTACCTCTTGGTCCAGTTACGTAGCACCACTGAAATTGTCTCACTAAGTTTAAGGCACACTTCTTGCTACATAAATAAAATGTGGGCATGGGGAGGAAACTAATGATATTAAACTGAGGATGGCTCCTTACTTCAATATAAACATTACAATTAGTGGCTTTTCCCCCCCAACATTCCCTCTTCCGGTCCACCAGCGTGGCTCACACCTGTGACTTTGTCAGGGGAACATTCACAAACAGCAGATGTGGGCATGCTAGACGTGAATCTAAGGGAACCCCACACCAGTCCTGAGAATACCCAACGAAGATAGTGTAAGTAAATTCACCTTCTGCTCCATTTATTCATTTCCTTGTGCTTTGCTGCCAGTGGAAACCTTGGTGACATTATAGGGCAACATATACAAAGAAATTAACAGTCTTAACAGCAGTGGACACCTCAAAGCATTCTCCTTGCCAGTGATAAGCAATGATGGCTCAAGTTAAACTATCACAGTAGGGTTTCCATTACAGGTGTATGTTTTGAAGAATGAATTTAAACCTTCCTTTAGTTTAGGAGGAGTCATGCAATTCCAATTCTCCTTGACATTTGGGGCTGAATATGCTGTTCAATGATAGGTCGGTCATCAAATAATCTGGGAAGGTCTCAGGCCAAGTGCTTTGCACAAACCAGCTGCAGACTCAACCAAGTGACTGAAAGCTGCATTAATACTGCCTGCTGGGGCATGGGCCTTGGGAAAAGACTCTGCTTCCCAAGAGCCATGAGCAGAGCACATGAATGAGTTCTTGAAATGGGATCTAGTTTTGGGGCTTGCCCACAGCTGATGGGCCTGTTCTTACACACAAACCTCTTCACAGAGCTCTCTCTCAGTGTAGGAATTACATTTGGGTAGGCACTTTTGCCCCTGAAACTCTCCTAGGCAGTTACACTCACTGTGATTCCATTTCATTGCTGCTGCCTTGGGAGCACAAAATCAAACATACTACTTCAAACATTTCCCTAGCAATGTTTAAGGAGATGTTTATTTCTCAGTTGCAAATGGAACTGCATGCTGAACCAACCCGTGAAGCATCAATCATACTGCACAAGCAATTGTAAGAAATAAGATATTTAAAAAATTACTTCTGAAAATACTGCCAACAATTTTATGATATAGATATTTTTAATATTAAAAGTAAATTGTAAATGTATCTTTATAAACAATATGCATAAAATAGATCTACTATACTAAGCTCTCTCTTTTTAAATGCTGCTTCACAGTAATTTCTTAGGTATGCAAAGTTTTTCCTCCAAGAAATAGTGCAATCTGAAGAACATACATTATGTCAGCGGATCAGAACTACTGTGGTCATTAATACAAGTCTTTGTAGATCTCTTGTAGGAGTGGATGAAGGCTCATGTCTGTCTCCGTTTTCTTTATGATTTGCAAGAGCTGCACGTGTTCCGTTACAATCTGTCTGAGGTCCGTCATTTTCTGCAGCAGCTTTGCAAAGAGCTGTGAGGATTCGGGGTGATTCAGCTTCAGCTGGAGCTCCAAAGCTTGCAACAGATTGTCTTGTATATCTTCAATGGGCTTCACATTTAACAAACCTGGGCGGTCTAGGGGGAAAGAGGGGAGTTGTAAGTTTATGAAGAATGTGGAAACATCGATCTCATCCCTTGGTTTCTTAAAGATTTCTTAGTGTATTGAGCACTTACACACAGCACTTCCTGACAACTCTTTGACAAACGGGTTTATCTGTAAGATTTTACTAGAATTTGCTCAAAGACATTTTAGAAGTAATCTCAGAAACAATCTGAGCATTTGTGCGGTGCAGATCCAGAGGCAGGTTCGTGCAACACAACAATGCATATTCCACAGCAACCTGGGAGTGTTTATGGAAAGGAAGAGTGATTTACAGTTGGGGCATAAACAGTCTGTGTCGATTAATTCACTTACCTGGCACATGAACATATCCTCAGATGGATTTGCATGTAGTTACTACCATTAAAAATCTCTCCTGCTAAGGGGGATGCTAACCTATCAAATGAAAATAGGCATAAATTCAACTTGTGCTGTCACACTGACTTGGGGGATTTAAAAACCACAGGCTCAGTTCTTCTCCACACCCGAGTTCCAGGTGCCATTAAGAAGTCTCACAGTAGCTTTCAGCATCAGCTCCTCAGCTCAGCCCCGAAGGCTTACGGAAGTGGAGGACGGAGAGATGTGGCTTGCACAGAAAATGCCTTTTCTGGGCTCATGCCAACAGGGAGTTCTCTCTCCTCCATAAGGATGTTTACAGCCCGGGTCAGCTACTTGCACTGCCACAGCTGCGAGGTCCAGGATTATCTTTGATGTATCTTATTCTTCAGCAACAAGCAAAATCTTTCCCTTTTAACCAGTAGTATCTTTCATCATAACAGCTATCCTGTTATTTCTGTCTGTCCCCAAATACCTTCTGAAGTGCTTGCAATTATTAGTTAACATCGTTTGTAACATTTGTTACAATGAATTACTTGATTCTACACCCATGAAAGTTGATAAAGTTGCTTAACATTACTAAATCCTCACAGATGACAATGAACACCAGCAATGTGTTATTGCTGAAGTAACTTCATACTGGGTAATGCATCCTGATCATCAGAATGGAAGAACAGTCAATGATTTCAATGACATTTGCTGTGAAGCTATATAGTCAATTTAGAATCAATAAAAAGCAGTGCCTGAAATCACTTCCCTAAGGCAATATTTCCAAATTTGAGCTATATTAAACCAGTGAAAAATAGGCTGTTATTTCCTGTGATCTCAGTAACCTTTCTGTGCATCCAGTTCTACTAACTCGGCCTGGCTTGTGCTGCATACTAGGAGCAAGGCTGAGAGAAAACAAAGCTCTTTATAAACACATTGGGGTTTTACTCCACAGACCAAAAACTGCAGTGTGAACTAAAACTGAAACCAAATGAGTATCCCAGCCATGAAGACACGCAGGTCAGCCATTAGGAAAGGACAGTTAGCTCTCAAAGAGGTGAAGCTGGGGAGAGCTTTTCAGAAGCTGGAATAATTGCAAGTTTAAATATGGAGCTTGACATCCGATGGTGGGTTTACGAAGTGACCGTGTTCAGTGGTAGGTGAGGGGACTCACTGAGCCATTTGGCCGCTGTCTCCATTTGGGGTTTCATGCTAATAGGCTGTGCTTGTCTTGCAGAGATCACCTCTTTGTGCCATGCCATGGCTAGTACCATAAAGCATGGCTCAGAAAGTCTGTGAGTAAATATCCTGCAAGCAGAAAATCGTCTCCAAACAAACAGCTACTTTACTAATGCCCTTTGGCAAGATTATCCAGTCATTTTTAGAGAAACTTACGAGAGTTTTTGGGAAATCTGAGGTGTTTCCTATTACCTCCATTGACTGGATGTGCTGGAAAACCACTGCCTTCTTTCTGCCTTTCAGAAAGTTCCCAGTTTCCAGGACGTCAAAGCTGTTAATGATTTTGGCTTTGGGGTGCGATAGCTTTAAATTTGACTTCTGTGCTGCAGCTGAACTCTGAACTACGTATGACTCAGTGCTCAGTGCTAGAAAAAATCAGAAAGCTCAAAGCCTGTGGCCTTGATTTCCTCTGAGATTAATCCCCCTTTGCCCCCTGCTCCTTTTATGATGGGAATTTTTAGGGTGTGAGGTTTGCAGCAGTGAAACCCAGCTCAAGCATTGTGCTCCCCAGCACAGCCCAGGAGGCAAACCCAGGAGATCAGTGCTGAGGCTGGGACTCGCCAAGGAGCCCCCAGATTGGGGTGCCCAAGGTCAGTTGAAGTTCAGTGAGACTTAAGCAACTAAAAGCCCTAAGCTCCTTTGAAAACCCCAGTCTAATGGGTTTATAATGACCCAGTGGGACTAGGGTCAGAAAAGATGACTATGACAAAAACCTAGGAGATAATCAGATGTTATTTTTAAATAAGCCAATTTGAGAGGAAGGAAAATTCCCATTGAAGGCAAGAGAGATTTTTCATGAATGAGAACTTTGGGATATGGACATTAGTTTTTGGGTGTTGACAGTTTGTTATACTTTCTCAGTAAAAACTTCTTACAGAGGAAAATACTGTTTCTCTTCCAAGAAACTTATCTAAATTGGGGGGGAAGGGAAGAAGGAAATAAGAGGCAAAAGCTTTAATATACAGATATTATGGTATATTTCACGTTGTTAAGATGCTCTTAACTATATATGCTCTAGATTAATTGGGCTGCTGCACCAAAACATGTACCAGAAATGGGGGTAAACAAGATGTGACACTGGTGGAGGCATTTGGAGAGGCTAAGAAAGAGAATTGCTGTTTGACAGCTCACAGAGAAGTGTGCAAGGGGGAAGCGCTGAGAGGAATGAAAGCAAGCCCCAGTGAGTGGCAGTAGGACTTTCTTACTATACAGTGACATTAGGCTGCAGAAGGCCAAAGGAAAGAGGGTTGAAATGATGATGGTGAGACAACTAAAAGCAAATTGAACACCACTGTTAAACCTCTCTGATACAGAAGACTGCTGATGGAAATTTAACCTTTTTATGTGCTATTTGTGACCTGCCTTTTATCCATTCAGACTATGCCAAGACAGTACCACATTTCTCTTTTCATTACTACTTGTCTTTATGAATTTTGTATCATTCATCATCATATGGCTGTTTCATTTGGTTTGGAAATTCTGCAGGAAGCTGTTCTAAGGAAGAAAATGGTCACAGAAGTGACCATTAGCCCCTTAGCTTTGAGTGCCAGCAATATGACTGCCTGAATTGATGTTCTATTCTGGGTCAGGGAAAAATATGTTGTTTATTTCCTTACAGATTTGGGTGCTTCTTTCCTGTCCCTAACAGTAATTACAATTTGATTTCTGTTCCTCACATGTGAAACTGCCATCTGCATGCCTTTCCCCCTACCTTTATATTTTAGTACCTGTGATCAAGTGCATTTTGCATTCAAATACACAATCTGCAATCTTAATACGATAAAACAGGCAAAGAGACGGGTGACTGCACAAGTGTGCTACTTCTTTTGCTGAGGCAGATATGACTCAGCAGTCCGAGGTTTTTCTTCGGGACTGTAACGTGTAGTGTAGTCCCCAGGACCGTGGTTCAAAGCCCACAGTGGTTATCTGCAGTTCTTGGTGTGATTATGAAATGCTTCTTTGCTCTTTGTGCTTTGCCAGAGCAGGATTTGTGTAGCAGTCAAATATGAGCTGTTCCTTGGTACTGTTCAGTGATAAAACTTCCGATTTTGCTGATCTCAGATTGTAGCAGAATGACCGAATGCAATGTTTAAGCAAGAGCAGTGGCTGCTGTGAAGAACACACCCAGAAACAGAAGTGAATGAACATTACTCAGCTCAGGTACCAGCCTGACTGCACCTCTGCGTAACAGAGTAAGAGTCTGAGCCTTCACAGGTATTCCCTACTACAGTTCCCAACCACCACTGTAGCCTAAACGCTGCAGCAGATCATATACAAAAGTTCAAGTCTATGTGGACATGCTACAAAATCACCTTTTGAGCTTTTCCTTTATTTAACAACAACCTGCTTGAGTGAGTTGCTGGTTGTAAATGTAGATTATCCTAATAGCTTGGACTACCCTCTTTCCTGCCCAAACACAGACATCCAGCTTGTTCTCCTTACACCTTCTTATGACAGACTTCATTTTCAGCTCTGGTGTATACCATGTTTTTAAAGATACTTCAAGTTCTTCAACGTTTATACCATGGCAGTAGCTACTGGCTGAGGGTATGCCCCAGTGGAATACAACAGGAAGGAAGAGTATCTACTTGAAAGAAGTTTTCCAAATCCCATCTTACCAAATGTACGTACTTATCAAAGTTACCATAAGTAAAAGGACATTGTAATGAGAATTTGGCATTGCTGTAAATGCCGTAAAGCATTTCTTGGGTAAAACCAAGCTAATATCCTATAATATCCTACCACTCACACACACAGTCTCTGTCTCATCAGCATTAAATTCAGGATACTAGAATTCATTGGCCATTTACACTTGTTTTAAAGCACAGTGAACCAACGTTAAGAATAACTCTTCAGCTTTGTAATGACGTGTTCAGAGTGACATTTGGAATCACTGAGCAGCTCAGGAACAGTCAAATGATTGACACTGGAAGCAGGAATACTTTCATTCTGTTGATGTTACAGTTAATTTGTCAGCCTATTATTGGCAGAGAAGTATTTTGCCTCTTCACATATAAGGCAAAACAACTGGTTCGCTGTCAAAAGGCTGAACTGTTTTATAGGATTTGTGGCAAAGTCCAAACACACTTCACAATGAAAAGCTTTCTACATGTCATGTTCCAGCTGGAATCATTATCTTTCTCTTTTCCTTCCCTCTGCTCTTCAGAGCTGCATAAGAGAGCGTGCCGTGGAGCTGCAGAACGGACATCATTTCACAAGGCAATGACAGACTCACTTCGAATCAGAGCTTTTGGTGAGGATCTTTCTGCGTGTCACAAACTGCTTTGCTTTTTAAGATCTTTGTGCACAGGATCTCTTGAAGTGACTTAAGAATGAGAGTATTCCTGCAGCCAGTAAAGGCCTTGAGGTGATATCATATGGCTTTGAAAACCAGTTTGCAATGAAATCATCCTGGCTCAATATTCCTACAGCTCTTGCAGAAACAAGAGCATCTGAGCCCCCTGAGGAATCAGATTTCAGTTCCATACCACACATTATAGTCCCCCAGAATGCATACAGGTCAGTCAATATACATCATACTTGACTGTAAGTTCTATGATAAAAGCCATTCTTTAATTCCCTGCCAAGCTTAATTGTTTTCAGAAGAGAAACTCAGTTTTTGCAAATAACTATCATGTTTTGGGTTTTTTTTTGGGGGGGAGGAATAAAAAGAGTTCTGAATAAAGACAGTGAGTGAGAGATCTTGGCTATCAAGAAATTAAGGGATTTTCCAAGAAAGGGGTGGTTGATTTTTATATGGATTTATATTTTTATCTGGCTTTGCTTCAGGGTTATTTAAGAACTATTAAAATTGAGTAGTTCTTTATGGACCTCTGTTTGCAAACTATCCTTTAAAAAGAGACTTGCTGATAAACCTGCTTTGACAGAGTCATTTTTTCCTGTAGATCACTGTCCTCCTGAGATCCAACACGTGAGATCAGTTCCATGATACCTGTTCCCTTTAATGCCAACCAGGCATCACCAAAGACCGAGCTTTGCAGGCTGCAAGGTCCCTTTTCTCACTTAGGAGTGGATTTTGAGAGGTCTGTTCCTCATCTGGTAGATTTCATTCTATTAGCAAATGCAAAATATCAGCATGTTTTGGGGGATGCCCCAAGAGGTTTAGATAATTTCTCCTCCCCCATCAAAGCCAACCAAAAATACACCAATAGCATATTTTCCCTTCCTGAATTAATTCAGAGTCCTCAGGGATCATTGTGTTCAAAGGTTTGCACAAGGGAATGGCTCCTGGGAAGCGCACTTGTTTGAAGTGGATTTTAGTTAGTCTAATAAACCAGGTTGTGATACCACATTTTTACTGAGTGAAACACAGTGCCAGGAGTAATTGTGTGTGATTTTACATGAAGGTATAGGTAACAATGCACGCTCAACATGTTTGGTTTCAGAACAATAGCAAGTGGTGGTTGTGTTTGATTGCTTAATCATAATGTAGTAACAACATACTCTGCATTTCTCTGTGGAGGATCTGAATTCAGAGCATTCAGCACATTCCTCCCATTGATAGCTGCAGAATCATTCTAAGCCAAAATACACACAAATCAGTGAGGTAAAATGTTCTTTGTGCGACATCACTAACTCAATGGTATTGGCTGAAGTAAGACCTTCAGTACGACCTGAACTGTGTGTCTTATACCTCAAATTCTCAATGGAGAGGTTTCATACGTGAACTAAAATTCGTTGGCAGTCAGTAATTCACAAAAGATAATAGCTACATCACCTCGAATCAGACAGAACACACTGACTGTCTTCAAACAAGCTGAAAATTCAGTGCCTTGTTTAATGAAGTGTTAGAATGCATGTAGTCTGAGACCTGGACCTGCAAGTTCATGTTTGCTAAAGCATAATGCATAAAGATTAATGCAGACAGAGCATCTTAGGAAATATGACCAGAGCAGACACACGATGCCTGCTTTTCTCAGCCATTAAGACAGCATAGTTTTCCTGAGGAATGCATTCTTCCCCTCTTTTATAGGCAAACCAAACCTTGCACGAATGAAAAAAACAACCATCAAAAACCCCATAACAATCCTGGAAGCCAAATTCCCCATCTATTTTGAAATAGTTATGGAGTCAAAGCTATTTGTGTACAATTAGCAAGCCACACAAGCTAATTGCAGGTTAAAACTCTCATGCAGAACTTTTTAACTTTCAGAAGCTCTTGCCAGTGAAATTCCACGCTTCCTGTTTTCAGGGAGGCAGGCCTGATTTTGTTTCCTAACTGAATGCACTGCTGACTCAGCAGGCATTTCTAGCTCCAGCATTAATAGCAGGTCATTTACATTCTCAGGTTCTACCTGAAACTGAAAAAAGGGCAAACAACATCATGAAAGCTGAAAAGGAATCAAAAGCTATATGTAAATCCAGTCCCATCCTGCAGCACCGAGCATTTTCCTGTTTGCACAGGAACGAAAAGTGTCAATTCGGTTATATAAAATATCATATCAAACAGGACAGCACTTACCTCCACTCAGTATAATGACAGCTATAAATATTGCCAGGTCACTGTCATCTAATTCCAGTGCATTGAACTTCACAGCAAACTCAAACTTGGGTTCCATAAAGTCACAAAAAGGTTTTCTCAGGCTCTTCAGAAACTCCCGTGTCATGAATCCTTGTCCGTCAGATACAAGAACTCCATCTTTATTCATCAGAGAAGCCAGGAGAGTATATATGATCTCATGGACCCCGTATTTCAGGAGAGTTACTTGATCATTCAGGTCAAGATTCACAAAACCTGGAATGTTCTTGGCAAATTCCGTGATCTCCTGCACTGCCTCCACTGAGCGGAACTGGCATCGCTGGAAGATGCGGATCGCTACCTCTTTGTTCTCCTCCTGCAGTGGGGACACGTGCTTGCACTTGATCTGATCTTCTCCCATCATTAAAGAGTTCATGTCATAAATAACAAATGGCTACAAATAAAAAGAAAAGACAATTTACTTTCAAATGTCCTTCCCATGAGCATTTGCCTCCTGAGAAACTGCAGCAGCACATAGAGGTGTCCCTCAGCCAAAACCACTGGGAAGTCTATGAGGAATATAGCAAGAGTAGCTGACCCCAAAGGCTCAAACCTTCATAAGGCTATTAAAATAAATATCCTCACAGTGTTAAAATGATTTACAGAAAGGCCAAATAGTTCTTAGGGCCTTCTCACGTGTTCCGTGAATCCAAGTTCTAAACCCAGGGCTTTGGCTGGTACTTTCTCACTAGTTGTGGGAGGGAAGTAAAGGACACGGTTTCAAAATAGCTGTTTTCTTTTCCCTTTCTTTTCATTGGTTTTCTTGTTTGTGTGTTTGTTTGACAGAAATTCTGTAACATCTGAATTTGAATTTGGAGTTTGGAACAAGGTTAAAATGTTCCTCCTTTTACCTGAATTTTAATGGCTTCTATAGGCCAGAATCTACCCAGAGAACAGGGCCATGTTTGCACTTCAGATGATACAACTTCTTTTCTATAGAAAGACAGAGTGTATTCACTCTTTGATTACTTCCTATACTGTCATGTTCTTTGGAAGTTCTATCCATCTAGAAGATGCTGCAACTAATATCAACTTTATAGTATTGGTTATCTGATAAATTTAACCTTTTGCTGTTAACTCCTTTAACAAGAACGAAGTTGGGATATATTTAAACTCAAACAAGCCGGCAGTGGGAAAGAAAACAACCAACGCGATACAAACTACAGGAGCACAATTCAGAGCACAGGAATGAGTCTGACTGTGAAATAAACTCAACTGCAATAAATCAATTTTGAGAGCAGACCAGGAAAAGTAGTGCCAGGAAAACTTTTGTTAGGATCTGGAAACAATCTGTTTCTGAATGTGCAGAAGAAGCTCCTGGTTTTAAAGGAATGGGTAAGTGGGGAATTCCTGAATTCATCTGAAGAATCCTTTCCTTGGAGGATAAATGACTAAACAGCTCATTGCTGCACTGAGAACTCTCACTGATGTGGATAGCTTTGTTAACATAGCTGATTAATTAATTTAAATACAATGAGTTATTCAACAAATGGACTAGAGAAATGCATTTTTTAACTTAAGATCCCTTGTGATTACATATCTAATTCATTCACGAGTGCTCTCTCTCCTGCTTTTGTGGTCACTATATACTGAAGAACAAGATTCCAAACCAGCCCAATCCTTCCTAACTGTAGTCAGCAGTCCTCTCCCACAGCATCACCTCCTGGAAGCTCCTACAGTTCTGTTCCTATTGGATGAAACCAGTTTTAAAGTCTTTTCAGTGCTAAATTACTATGGGACTCTTAGAACTGAAATCAGGTACTTTCTTTAGAGCCTGGGGATGCCTTTTGCCACCTGAGGTTACTACTCCCACAGTTCTGCCAATGGAGACTGTGGAAGTGTTTGCTCATCTGCCTCAGGCTAAATCAAACAGAAAGCTCCGACTGCTTTCACTGGGCAGGAGGGAGGGCTGGAAGCCGGCAGTGCTTCCCTAACCAGGAGAGCTGACTGGAAAACAGAGCTCTGGCTGTGAACTGGACCAATAGCATCTGCACAGGATGATTTCAGCTTTCAAAACAGGTTGGTTGAATCAATACTCCACTGCTTACAGGACCAAGGAAAGTAGTGCTGTGACTTTCCCAGTGATGACAGGCAAACATAGCTCCAGCCCCTGAGATCCAGTTGAACAGAGGGTGAGGTGTGACACTGTTTTCCTACTTGCACTAGGATTTCAGTGTGAAACTGAACAAATAAATATACAGCACTGAGAAAAGCCAGGAGGAGGAGGTGTCTTTCAAGATGCAGTGCTATTTTGGCATCAGAAAAAGCATTTTATACAGCTCTGTATATATGTGTATGCACACATATGTAAACTAGTGGAATAAAAAGACAAGAGGAAGCTTTTAAAATGCATGTTTCAGTACTAGTAGGTCGTTCCTTTGTTTTCTTTCTAGAAACTCCTAAATTGGGGCACCAAGTACAACCAAGTCATTAATTTTGTGCATGAACATGTCCTTTAGAAAGAATGTTTCCCAGTGCAGGTACATAGTTATTAGGATCACACTTAAAACCCCTGAACTGCTAAGTTAATTCTTTCCCCTGTTTCTGATATAGAGAGGGAACTGAGAAAAGAGTTGGAAAAGGCAGTGCCGCTCAAGTGGACCTACCACAGCAGCTTTCTGCAGAGTAAAGAAACTATGCTGGTTAAACCTTCATATACTCCATGATGAAAGGCTACTCAAATTGTAAGTGTCCACCACATCTGCATTTTGATGCGAGGAGTGCAACCAAATTAGAGACAATATTTGAATTATTATTTTAGCCACCTTTAAAGCCTAAAACGCCTCCGAATTCTTGTCTTTGAAATTATTAAAGAAAATAAACCCCAGTGTCTGTTGTAAAACTGACAATTAAAGATAAACCAAAGCAAGAGTTACCAAACTTGGAAAACTGGTTTTCTTCTTCAGTATTAAAAGAGTGACAAAAATAGAAACCTCCCATAATTATCAGTTATCCTTCTCACTGCTAGAAAAGATTGTTACATATTGTCGGTGAAGTTTCCAAACATATATATCCCTATCCCTTACTTTTCAAAGATTTTCCTGTATGTTCTCCTCAAATCGAAATTGCACCAGCACAGGATGCTGATCTGATCCAAGATAACCCCCTTAAATGCAGGAAGTCATCAAAGCTTCATAAGAATAAGCATCATATTTAAGGCTAGTAATGCTGTTGGCACTGGGAATCGTTTGACACTTAGGAAAAGAGCATTCCTTTGGGAACAGGTAGTACTGATAATAAGCTGTGATAATATGCTGTGATACAGATGTTTGAATTGCATAGCTGCCAATTCCTGAGCGAGATAGCCACCTTAACAGATGATGTGGCAGATAACCTTTGGGGGAAGAGAAGGAAAACGGGAAGAGAGGCTCAGAGAATACAAAAAGGTTAAGGTGACCTTCACATTCTTGTACTGGTTTCAAGTATTTTATTAGGTGAACTTGGAGTTTTTTCAAATAATGTTTACTTATCCTATCTAAAAACATTTCCTGTGTTTCAGACACAGCTTGAAATATGGAACTGCCAACAGCAAAGGGGGGGGGGGGGTTTCAAAGATGTGCTGTCTATGTAGTAAATAATTCACTCAAAAGAAAGGCAGAAAAAACCCAAAACAAAACAGAGGGAACTAACTGATTTGTCTGTCGTCTTTCCTGTCAAGATCGCCCTCGCCTTGGCTTTGGTCAGAGGGAAGGACTTTATGTATGAGTCATACAAATGCTTGGCAAGTGCTCGTAGATCAGCAGATTCGGGGTTTAACTGGTCGATGTCGCTGGAAATCTCTGCCAAGAGCTTCTCCTTCTCCGCTTGTGGCATTCGCCCAAACCTGATGGCTGAAGAAGATGACAAGCGATTACTACAGCTATAGTTGCACCTGAAAAAGCACACTTGAATTGCTTTTTATGTCACCTTTTGTTAGGAGCTCTTGAAGCCTTTATTAAAACAGTACTTAGGCAAGCAAGAAAAAGATGATTTTCCCCAGTAATATAGGCAAAACAGCGGAAGTGCTTTAAAGAAATACAAACAAACACATCCCAAAGAGGAAATCGTCTGTGTGCCCAAACAGTAAGGTTACAATATCTTGCTTGGAAATGTAAACCTGAGAGAGTTGCTGAAAACCACTGGTTCTACCTCCAATCTAAATAAACCAGAAAGAATCTTTAAGATATAAAAATCATGCTGGCTGAGGCTGGGAACCACTTTTCAGCCTTGTATTATTTTGGGCAAATCACTGTATGGAGCTCAGGTTCTTCATTTGTTTAGAAACAAAACACTGCCATGCCTTGCAGGAACAAATTCCTAAATAGTTCAGCACAACTTAGCGTGGCAAGTGCTATGAAATGTTACTAAATGAATTAAGGAATGAGAAAGAAGTCGTAAAGGGAATACAAAAACCAGAAAAAAAGTTCTTGAGTTCTTCATGTAACTCTATGTGCATGCAGTATTGAGAGAACAGGAAATGGTTCTACCTACTCATATGGGCTCACAATTGCTCAATACTGACCAAGGCAGGCTGTAAACCTCCCACTGTGACCCATAAGCCTCCTCCCCAAGACACTCTTCATTCATATGGGGACTGACTTGGAAAATATTTCACATGAGCTGTCAAGATGAAGCCTGATTTATTGCATGATAGTTCAGGAAACAGAATTTGGTTTATTTTACAGAAACAAAACAAAAGAGCATCCAAACAAACAACAGGAGGAAGAGATAAAGGTTTGCATTTTGGCCTTAGAAAGAGAAATATTCTAAATATTTTTGCAGTGATTAGTGTCTTCCTTGGCTAAAGCAAAAGTGCTGTTAAGATCATACATAGGGATGATCATACAGGGAACGTTTCATCTGGAAACAACCAGCCACTTTCCTTTCATGTGTTTGCTTGCAGTGTGCTGATGGACAAAAATGACACTTCTATTCAAGAGTAATTAGCTGTGCTAAGAAACAACCCCCAAACCCTACTTGTCAGATATACTTATTGATCAGTTCTCTTATTTCATGCCTCTAGAAACAAGGTGGGTTGTTTTTACAACTGCATTACAGCTCTCTGACAGCAGACTCTGTCTCTGAGTGCTGCATGCTCTGTATTTCATATCTGCTCACGTATTCTGTGAGTGTTCAGATGTCAGAATAAAAAGCTAATGGGTAGAAATTGAGATATTCTTTTTACAGACATTTCCAAGAGCAAAATATTTAAAGAGAAGTTATTAACTTCAGCTTAGTTTCTATGAGGTACTAGAATGGCTCAGACTGACCCCACCCTGAAAAGAAGCAGTGTGAAGGGGTGAGCGTATGGTGACATTAGTGATGCACAAAAAACTGATCTCAAACAAAAGGAGAGTTCATATTTGTACTGAGGGTAACTGAAATAAAAGAATGAAAAGATTCAGCATAGCTAGAAAGGAATTAAGTCAGCTCCATCTGCTGCCATGAGCACTGTGGCTCAACACTCCTTCGGTAGTTTCATTTTGCAGTTCAAATGGATTCTCTCACTAGTAACAATTCTTACTTGTAGTTAACACAAATCCTTTCAGTTTGTTTTTAAAAGCCATGCTCTGGAGGTTGGCAGCACTGAACCTTGCTGTGATCTCTGCATTTAGACATTCCTGAAGATGTAAAATGAACCAAGTCTGAGTGTTCTATGAATTAAATAGAACAAAAACTCACCGAGAATATTTTATAGCATTTACAGATCTTTTTTCTGATACTTAAGGACTGAGTCAATAAAAAGAATCAAACTGGCATCACCATAATAAAGCCAAAATACAGTATTACATAAATATAGTAAGAAGTTGTTACAGGGACAACATGCAGAAATAAAATGTGGGGTCAGGAAGGTGTTAACAATATGGCTAATAAAGGTGTTAAAGGTGAATTAGAAGTCCAGGTCAAACAGTGTGGCCCAGCAATTTGTGACTTCACATCTTCATTAAAAGCTCTTATGTTCTTCACTAAACCTGGTTTCAGATGTAACGTTCCTTTCATATTACATTTGTGGAATTCACAAGATGATGTTTTATGATCAATGTATCCACTTTTCAAATGTGCATTTTGCAATAGCTTCATCAGTGTAAAAAAATCCTGTTCTACTTTGATGATTCTGATTGGCATCTTGACAACAAAGTCAACTCCTCAACATCTGGTTTTGAGGAAGAATTGGCAAACTGGAGACCTAAGTGAAGCCTTAGCAAGACTTCTCACACTGTTACTCTTAATCTGGAAAGAAAGCAAGGCAAATATTAGCCTCATGTAAAGAACTTCATAGAAAAGGAAAATCAGAGTTGCCCATGTCTAAAACGTTCATCACTTCCAGAAACCTATGAAGTGCAATTTATTATGACCTGAAGTCCTAACACACAGTAAGAAGTCCTGAGGAGCTCTGAGGATCTATAAGTCCTTGAAGAGATTTCACAATCGGGTCAGGAACGAGGCGCTTTGGGCCAGAAAAATGTTTTGTTATGATAAATCCTACTTGTAAACTATTTTGGTATTGTAGGTGGAATGCATTCATAAAAATATTAAATATAATGTTATAATATGCATTTTCAACAGCCTGATGTCAACCCTATATGCTCAGTCTGTAAGCACACCAGAAGTATTATGGAAAGAGATGTTGACTGGACACCAGGGTGAGACATGATTCTGGAGAGCTGGGCTTTGCAGAAGCACATTTATAACCTGGAATCTCTCTGGCACAAGAGCCCCTGTCATCAAGGTTATTTTTACAAAGGGGATTAAAAAATGTAGCACAGTATATTCAGTATATTGCTTCCCCTTCCATAGTAATGTTTTAATATTAATTTAGCTCTAAAATAATTCATGCATTTCCCCGAGGCATTAAAAACAATAGGAATATATTTGTTTTTTTCTCTACACCTGCCCCATGTCAAATATCTACTGAAACATTCACAGTGCATATACCAGCTATGACACTGCCTAGGAAATAGAACTGTTGAATGGAGAGATTTGATGGCGAAGATAAAGGATTCTCAAACCAGAGATTGTTCTGTCAGTAGAGAGTAACTCAGCTGTGCAATTGTGTTCCTTCAAGGAACAGAAACTGGACTGATGGCAGACACCTTGCTAGAAACTCACATCAGGGGAACAGGCTGGTGCCTGCTTTCTCAAGTAGGTTTGCCAGGATTGAGTGGGATAGTTCCTGGTTTAAAACTTACGGCTGTTTTCCCCTAGCTGTTTCTATCTACCATTGCACTGATACTCCCAGCATCAAATAAGCTTAGTTCTGAGTATGAAACAACAGCATAGTACGTACACGATGTTTTCTGACTATGCTCCTATGTGCCTGCATGTCTCATCTCCTGTCCAAGAGTCTCTTGGGAAGTAAATGACAGTATTTGTGCTAGAAATTTGGTATTGCTAAAGGACATATTGTTGTCTATTCAAAGTTTTCAATAGCTCTAGTGTAGAATTTATAGTAGATGGCAACTCGCTCTGTCTTCATTTTTTTTAATGGAAAATAACATGGAGTACAGGTGTTTGGGAATCCTGTTTTTGGTGTGCTGATCTATCCTGACCAAAGGATACCAAATTGCCTTAGCACAGTAGGCATGGATTACAAAGCCTAGTGCTTCTAACATTTAGACTGCACTGGAGTTCATCATACTATTAGTAGTTCATTTACTGTGAAGAGTCCTAGAGTAAATGCCCTCTTAGCATTCAGTTTTGGTTTGGCTGTGATGGTGACACTTGTTTTCCTGCAAAGGGCTTTGAGAACTGTATGAAAAATGCTATAACCCCCAAATACTATTTATTCCTTTGCTGTTTCTTTCAGAGCTCTGCCTTGTTGGAATCAATTGGATTTTTTGTTTATGTGTCTTTATGCATAAATCTTATATATACATTCAACCCCCTGGGAACATCAGTGTGAAATCAGAGCATTGCCTTCACTGTGCTAAATTCTATGACTGCAAACACCCTTATTTATAATCTATTTTGGACTCAAAGCCCAAAGTTGCAGAGGAAGACGGTATCAAATGAAAAAGAAACAAAAAGAAACCACAAGGAAACACCAGCACAACTGCCAAAGAGAACCCTGAATTCTATAGCAGGTGTGTTAAAATGCTGCTATTACATTGAAAGAAAATTCACACATGTATCACTGTACAGTCAACTGGGTTCTAAGCACTAACTTCCATTCTGGAATGCTTGTGTGCTGCACTCCGAGTGCAGTCAGATACAGCAAACACTGCTCACAGCACACACAGCTCTCACAGCAGTGTCAGGGCAGTGCCAACCCGCTGCTATCGCTGCGTGCAGGGGCTGATAGCTAATCCCATCAGTGTAACAGGGTTATCTCTTACTGGCCTAAACCACCCAGCACTGGTTTGTCAGCACAAAGGATTGCCAGCTATCAGATCAGGGGTGGTGTTCAGCAAGACACCAGTGCTGGCAGCTTGCATCCTGCAGATAGGACCAAGTCTTCTGCTAAACATGTGAATTGACTGCACTAAGAATGGAAAGGAGCTCTTGCTGTTTTCAGCACTACATAAACCATTAGGGTGCACCTTGCTGCCTGCCATCGTAACGTCAGACTTCTACATAATGTAGCTCAGTAACACTGGAGCCCCTCAGGAATCTCAGCATTCTTTCTAGTGTTTAGTGTGTGAAAACTGTGCCTGGGGGAAGGCTTGTTCCACCTCTCTGGTTCTGTATGGATGGTATGATTATTGGCAATCTCTCTTTCCACATGTGTTTGTTTCTTTCTAAATGGGTGATCCATGCTTAAACATGGATCATCCTTATATCATGAACACCTGTGCCCTGGAAGGCTTCTGCTGTAAGTCAGGAATTCTGAGCATACTTTCCTAAAAAAAAAGGTGATCAAGACCCAAAGGTCTATGTTGTCAAATGTTATATTTATAATTAACTTTGTTAGTGACTAGTTATGAATCAAACATTTTTATCCTATAATTTGATGGGCAAAAGGATAGTTATCATTTGGTTTTAATGTTTAGAATGTGTTTTATAAAGATGCTATTAGTTGCAGCAGGTACTGTTCAATGTTTGCTAGCATTGTAGGCAAAATGTGGGGCAAAATTCAGTTTGTGGTACTGACCTGATAGCTTCCTGTTGGAGAAGTCACTCTCATTTTCAGGGACTGAGACTAAAGTCAGGGAGAGGTCAGGCACCAGGAGGGTTACAGAAGGAATTTGGAACATGGGATGTTGGGCGAGAGCAGAGGTAGGACACACTGACTGTACTTAGAGAGGTCAGGGTGGAAGAAGGAGAGTTCACAGGCTGGATAAGAATTCACAGCATTTCTGGTGGCTGAGGAAGATTTCAAGGATGGGTGGAATCCTTTTCTGCTTCTCTCTCAATCTCCCTCCTGTGACCCTGGTCTCATCTTCCATTTCCTGGCCCACTCATCCTCCTTGTTACTCTTATCTTCTCTCTCCTCCATCTACTCTCACAGCGGGCCCAGCTTCCTTATCTCCAGGGAGCCTGGGAAGTGAATCAAGGCAGGATCTGTAGGAGGGGGAAGAGCATGGACAAGCCAGCAAGCTGGTATAAGAGACCTGGAAGCGCGGCTTGCTGCTCTCACTGCAGGGGTGGAAGGGCTTCAGATGGCAATTGCTTCCACAGTAATAGCAGATCCTGAAAGTTTAGGCACGTGCTGGAACACGAGATCTCACTCTTCCCTTTGCCAGTTATTTCCTTTACTTGTGTTTAGAGTATTCTCCAAATGTCAGTGCCATAAAGCCAACAGTGAACATAGTAAGACACTACACACTACCTTATACCCTTTGCCTTTCTGTGGAAAAACTGGAATATTTATCCTTACACCACATTTTACAGCTTGCAGAAGTCTCTGTACCTACTCACAGACTGTTCTGTATAGCACTTGGTTCCTCTGATTGACCAAATTACTTCTGAGCTCAAATAAGTCCCCAAATAGACTGTAAGCACAGCTTCCTGCACTAGAAACATGAGGTAAAGCCTGGGTGCATGCCTGTCTGGGTTCACTGGAGGCATGTGCCCAGACTGAGCAGTTCATTGCTCCCAGCACTGATGATAAAGCCCTATTGCCATGTGTGCTCTTCTTTACAGTAGTTGCTTTTGTATAAATAGCGGCTTTGAGGAGAAGAGAAATGAATGAGTTTTCTAACATACAAGCCCCAAGCTTCTGCTTAGTGGTACTTCAGCACACAATGTGAGCAACTAAGGGTTAAACACAGAGCAGCACTGTGGCTGGAGAAGGAAAGGAAAACAATATTCAAGGCATGAGAACTCTACTGTCTTCTTTAACCTTCAGCCAAGTGGTATGTGGCGTTCCTACGTGAAAAAATGTGGCTGTAGCTGCTAAGGTCTCCCTGCATTCCCTGCTTCTCTAAGTCCCTCTTCATGTTGCAATAGTGTATCTATGCACAGACAGGCATAGGTTGGAACCCTCAGGCACAAATAATCCACATTCTCGTTTGAAATGCAGCTAATTTCACTACTCAAATGGGTGAAGAAGTGTAACGTAAAATGTGTTTGTGTGTCATCGGCAACACCCAGTGTTGTGTTTCTGGATGCTTCTTTATGCAGCACTGGGTCTTCAAAGGTGAAATTCAGTTCTTTTGTAAGCCTGATTGTTTATAAATGATGGAGGAACGAGGGTGTTTCATGCTATGCCATGAAACCAGAGCGGGTAGAAAAGGCAACAATACTTGACTACAAACACTCTTGACTCCCTGTTAGGTGAGGGCAAACAGCAGCATTCCTTTAAGCCCTGGGACACATGGCTTTGCCCCTTCCCAGACCCACACCCCACTGGTGCCGCAGCTCCTGCCTTGGCAGTGGCTGAGCAGAAGAACTGGGAGGGGAAGCGTTAGTTTGAAAAGTATTTCTTGGGGCCTTTATGTTACAAAGCCAGAGGGAACGGTCCCGTTCCCCTTCTTGGTAGGGCTGCACATGGCTCCCATTGACAGAACTGGGAGCTGTGTTGCTAGGTTGTAAATTTGGCATGCACCTTGAAAAGCATCATAATAAACTCTGCTGAATTACTATAAGAATACCCACAGTAGCATTTCAAAATTAGATTTATGTTAAAGTGTTGCTGTTGCACCCCAGGAACTTGAAAGGAAAACATTTCCCATACGCGTTATTCCCATACAATGCATTCAGTGCCTGTATTAACTTTGCAAACCACAGTTAAGCTTTCCTCTTGGGGACAGTACGCTCATTTTTTATATTGAAAATAATGAAAGGTCTAAAAAACCACAGAGAAGTTATTTTCCCAGTCATGTTTGCCATTTTTTACCCTTAGAATTACATAAGTCTCTGTTATGACATTTAATTCCTGTTTTTACTCCACTTTGCCAAAGCAAGGCAGCAAAGAATCTTCATTATGTGTTCCTTTGCAAACATTCATAACTATTTCCACATGAACTGATTTGTTAATTTTAAAGTTCAGGAGGACTTTCTTCTGAATTCTATGCAAGAGAGCAGGATCGTGATACACTTCATGCTATTTGCTTACCTACTCTAAAGAAGGCAATCACAGTCCCATACCCAATGGCAAACACCTTTGCTATGTAAGACTGTGACATATTCAGAACGGAAATGCTGCTCACAGTTCACAGATGGGGGGGGGGGATGTTCACCTCCGGGTGGGGGAGAGGGCAGAGAGCATGTATTGCACAGGAATCACAGCCAGACACACTATGCGATGGGAGGCTGACAGCTGAATGGGCATGCTCAGAAACACTGCACTCCTGCTTACCACACATTGGAATCTATGCCCAGATGTGGGTATCCTAGGAAGGAGGAGGAGGAGAGGGGTTTGTAAAAAAGTACAGAGTCTGGCCCATTCATCTAAAGTATGTTGTGTCCTAGTATGAGGAAGTGTTAACTTAGTGATGCTGACAGTCCTCAGTAAGTGTCCTATGCATCAAATTCAAGTTGTTATTCACAATGTTTCAGTAAAGTCTCTAGTCCATTTTTTCATGTTTAGGTTGAGCTCCAGGATGCCAAACAGTCTCGTCAGAAAACAAGACAATGGACTGAAAAACAGCAATAACACTAGGAATACAGTCAGGAAGAACAACCAGCAGTGTAACGGGCAAGAATAGTGCAGGGTAAAACCAGCTCATGTGTTGTATTATGTATTATATTGAGAAGTGCGGATCTCTACCCATCTGATTTCTATATTGAAAGCAATCTTCAGTCTTACACAATCCTGGACTCAGAGTCAGTCTCTGTGATATGCATTTCTAAACTGCCTCATGTAAAGATACAGGAGACTGCAGATGTCACAGCAGCACCCTCAGTGACCGTATTAACGTTTCATGTTATTTTTCAGTTGAAACATCATTAACGCACGCTGCGTGCACTTACCGTTATGTGACATTCCAACGGCAAGGCATTTCTGGAACCTGCAGTATTGACATTTATTCCTGCTTTTTTTGTGGATGCGGCAGTTCAGGTCACACCTGTCATAGATCAGCTTTAACCTGATGGTTCTTCGAAAAAAGCCCTGCAATCAACACAGAAGCACGTAAGAGGACACCAGAAACTGCAGTGTCATCACCTCACCTCCCCTGTGAGGATAAACCCAAAGCACCTTTCAGGACACACACTGAAGCTAACTTCAGTTTGGGCAGCTTTCCAAAGGAAGCAAGGCTCATGGGATCTGTGTCTGCTCCTCCGTGTGCTCCTGTTCGGATCTCATTAGCCATTTGCAACCTAGTTGGATGGAGGGGAACTGGGGAAGCTCATGGGGATCGGCGGGGTTTAAAGGACACAAGCTGGGAGCTCTACAGAACACTGTACCAAAGGAAGCCAAGCTCCATTTGTTCCACTGCTCATGGACAACTTGTTATGAAGTGACATTTTAGATTCACTAACAGGGGAGGAAGCTTTTCATAAATCACTGCCAACCAGAAATTCTGCCGACAGCAATCCGAGCTCAGGTGAACTGGTCACATTATGGGGTATTGTCTCCTGACAGTTTTAAGATGCTTTCCCACATCACTCAGAATCGATTAATAAATTTTACCCAAATTTACCTGCATTTGTCCCTTGTAACAATGAAGGTTTTCCTCACAATAAATGATATCAATAAATAAGTCACTGTAATTTAATTAATTAACAACGTACTTATTGCTTTATGTGTTCCTAATTCAGAGCTACGTGTTTTATTTCAGCTCTGCACTGGGTCTTTCCTATTAGTTCATTTCCTCTAGATATTGAAAACAGAGAAGATGAGAATTTGATGTTAAACTCTGTAATATTTTTCTTTGAGCTGAATGAATTATTATTCATTTCTTTCTCTGGCATTTCTTCTCTCATTCTTGAGGAAGGTTGAATCTTTACACCATTCATTTGGCCTTTTTGTGTTACAAACACTAAATGCCATTGACATAAAAAAAAAGCTGGTGGAGTTTTAAAGTGGAAAACCACATTCTTCCATTGAATTAGACTTTTCCATAGTCATCTAGAAATGTGTGAATTGGGTGAGGAAACCCTAATCAATCGGAATAACAGTCTGAAGTTTAAATTGTTCAGAGGACTGAGCTTTGGAGTTCGGCACGAGTCTGCTTTTGCTGCATGCTATGAATTCAGATTCTGCAATTGATCTCCAAGACAGCAGGAATTAACTAGAATTGCACAATTGCCAAAAGTAGAAGAAATGCACAAGAAATTACAATAGATCAGTAACATAATAAAAAAGGCAAATTATATTTAAAACCCCTCCTCCTACGAAGTCATAAAGTATCTGCAGTCTGTGGGGAACAGGCGGTCCTTTCCAACCCGAACTGTTCTGTGATTCTATGACTGTACTTCAAGAACTAAAGCTGTTCATAAAAGCACAGACCTCTGATTTTATCGAGGGATTATTCAGTATCCAGTCTTCCTTCAGAAGAGCCACTTTTGTGACAACTCACCTTGCAACCTTCGCAGGCATGCACACCATAATGAAACCCCGAGGCCTTGTCCCCGCACACACGGCATTCAATGGCCATAAGGGAGTTGGAAGTCTCCTCCTGAGGCTTGTTGTACAGCTGAACCTTTTCTGAAAAATAGGGTGGGGAAGGAGGCTCCATTTTGATTGCACCTGTGTGTAAAGAAGAGAGAAACTCAAATTATAATTAAACATATATAGGAAGAAACAAGGAATAATCCCAAGCAATCACAGTGAACATACCAGAGTCATAGCTCTGCTTCATAATACAAAATGAGTAGTAAACAGAGGACGTAAAGGGATGTAAACTGGAAGCCACTGTGTCAGGGGCAGTACATAGGCTGAAAAACCTGGAAGAGGCAGATTCTGATGTTGAATGTGCATTACAGATCCAGTTTTCAGCTCTGGAGGGTGGAACGATTGGAAGAAAGGGATATAAAAACGTATCTATGGAGACCTCATACTTGAAGGGCCTTCCAGTATCTAACCTGGTTGCATTACTTTGAGGTATTCAGAGCTACTGCAGGGAGATGGGCTGGAGTTGCTAATCTTGTCAAAAAAAATCATGTAAGTACCTACACACTGAATAATAGATAATTGGATAATATTGGATATTTAAAGAAATTGAGCTGTCCTGGGGAACACTTTGGATGCAGTTTAGAGATACATCTTCTCTTCTGAACGCTTCTCATTGAGAGAGCAATTGAATATCAAACAAGCTCAAACAACCAAATATTAGGTCCTTAAATCAGTTACTGGTCATAGAAGCCTCAGAAGTGATCTAAGTGCCACAGTGTTACAAAAGGATGAATGTTTTTCTCTTCCAGACTGGCTACATGGTACAAACTAGAAACTTTTCTTTCATACCCAAACTAGGAAGAAAGAAGAAAAGAGGAAATTTAATTAAAGATGACAAGGATTTATCCTACCTCGGCTCTACCGTACCCTACCTTGTTATTGGAGTGTTATGGACAGTTCTAACTGAACAAAAGGAAAAGAAATGCTTAGCTGGGAAAATGTCTTAATGTATTACATACGCAACCAAGAGGTACCCAGCACCTGCTTCCCTGTGCAGCCAGAATTAAACAGCACAGGATCGCTAGCACGAATACCCTTGAAGAATTCCTGGACGGATTGCTACAAGCAAAAGCAAAAGCGATGTCAAATCCAAGTAGGCTGAATGGATCTTTCAGACAGTTCCAGGCGCAGCAACCTCACGTCCCTCCTTGGAGCAGGGATGTGCAGTGACAGCTCACTTAAAAACGGTACACTTCTTAAAAGGAGCGTTCCCTCTTAGTTTTTTACTGTAACTGGCAAAGAGCAGCACTGTTCCTAGTCCATAACTAGTCCTAGCCTATGGAGCCTCAAGCATTAGGGACACTGATAAAAGTTAGACCAAAGCTGTGACTCAGGTGTAGCCAATAGCTCTACTCCAACACTTTCTTAGGCCGGTTGGCATTTCAAAGCTACACATATGAATTAGTAATATGCTGTGTAGGCTGGGGCATTTTTTAACATCCAGGATACTTATTCTGCACCATGTGCATAGAGCTTCAAAGAACAATTTACACATAAGCTACTTTAATAGGAAACTGGAAGCTTAAGAAAAAAATGGTGGGGTTCATGTGGCTAATAAAAAACATTTAATGTCATTTTAGCTACCTTATGATACTCTACCCAACCTCCAACTGCTGCTCTGGAAGGGTGAAGGGCTGCTGTATGCATTCTCTCTTTCCTATCTGCCTAAGGTGACACAGGATACAGCAGTTAAGTCACCTGAATACTTCTACAGCCTTTGGCTGGCAGGACACTTTCCAGAGAATGGAGCAGATATGAGCATGAAGGAAATACAGATTTTAAAACCAAAAGCATACTTTGGCAATCCTGGAGCTTGATATCGTATTTATAATCCATGCTTGTCTGATCGCTTCTTGCAAGAGGAATATCTTCATAGTGTGGTGAAGAAATGCTTGAAAAATCAACGGTGGTAAACGGCTTTATGTCGAAGGAATGTGTGTGATCTTCCATTGCAGACAGATCCACGGGGCTAATTCCAAAATTCATGGGCCAAAACGGCATTTCTGTGTCAACCATTGTAGCCCCTGAAAACAGAAAGACAGACATTTTGAAAGAGACTAGTTATCTCTGTGACAAGTTCAGGTCCAAAGGGGTGAGGTTCAAACCCTCAATCAGGTGCAGGTTTAGGCCCCATCTATCATTTGCCATGGGTTTGGCACCATACAACGTACTAGGGCTTATAGAAACATTGCATGGCTAACACTGAGCAGTTAACCCGGCTTTGAGGTGGCTCTTAGGGAGGCTCTGCCAGCACAAGCCATAAGAGCAAATGAGATGTTCTGACATCCCGGCCTCAAGCTAACCTTAGAACAGAACAACCGGAGAAGAGAAGGCTCAGGGGGGGCCTTATTGCTCTCTAAAACTACCTGAAATGGAGCCAGGAGGGGGCTGGTCTCTGCTCCCAAGGAACAGGGGATGGGACAAGAGGAAATGGCCTCAAGCTGTGTCAGGCAGGTTTAGATGGGGCTGAGGAACAATCCTTCCCCAAAGGGTGCTCAGGCCCAGGGCAGTCCTGGAGTCACTGTCCTTGGAAGTGTTCACAAACTGTGTAAATAAAGCCCTCCGTGCCATGGGTTAGTGGTGGCCTTGGCAGTGCTTGGGAACAGTTGGACTGGATGAGCTTAAAGGTCTTTTCCAACCTGGGTGATTGTATGGCTGTCTTCAGCATCCTGCTGGGCTGGACTGAACTGATCTGTTCTTCAGAAGGCAGCACAGATAGTTAGTGGGCTCACAGAACTGTGCTTAGGTGAATAACTCACAAAACCAGAGGGGAAAAATAACCAACTCACTAAGTGTGAATGGGCAGATGAAATACAGTTTTACCTGGCTATTTTGTACAATATGTATGTGCTTTAGTAAGCATGCAAGTCATTTAAAACAAAAACACCCCCCCCCAAACCCAAAGACAGATACCACTGATTTTAACTGCATCTCTCAATGGTGTGCAGATGAACAGAATCAGAAGTCTTCTACAGCTAGTTTTGCAGCTTTTTAAATTCTAATCACTCTCCCCAAGTGCCTGAAAACCTGAGGGATTTCTACACTAAGAAAAAATTAAAAAGGAGTTGGTGGTTTTCCTCCAAATAACCAGAAAAGTTTGAAATCTTCCCTCATTCAAGTGTGTCAAAAGCTTTATCCCAGAGTCTTCAACCCAAGCCTCAAGGAACTTCCATTTCTGACTTCCCACATTCTAGATCTCCTTGTGTACATCTTGAAAGCAGTAAACAAACCAAAAGCTTCCACCTGCAAAAATGGTCAGCAAATCAAGTGCAATGAGACTGAGATTTAAAGAGTTTTTCTGAGTCCTCTTCTGACACTTGGATGACCAAAATCCTTGATTCAGATGTATTTCAGCTGTAAAGGCTGTAAGTAACAGCAAGTGTAAACCACTGTTTTATAACCAGGGTTTGTCTTTCGCTTTCCATCATTTATAAAAAGAACATTCTGATCTAAAAATAGAGTTGATGTGAAGGAACTTCATTGACTTGGTCCCTTTGGCTGTTTAATTTGGACTTTAGACCCAATCAGGTAAATAGCCTTTAACCTCTAGATAACAGGAACTTTGATTTGATCCACTTTGAATCAAAACTACTTTGTCACACTGCCACAACTGTTGCAAAATGAGTATCATGGGACAGACCTGCTCTGTAACACTGAGATCATCCTCTGTTTTGACAGGCTTGCAGGTAAGTAAATCCATGACTGTCCTCCCCATCAACTGCACTGAGGTGCTAAGGTAGTAATGGCTAGAAAGGGTTACAGTTCTCTTGATCTTCCCTCAGGGAAGTCACCCTCATTCTTCCACCTTAAGGACTCACAGCACAACCTTTTCATCCTACCTTGGCCACAACAAAGGTTGTAAAATACCTTTCTTATTTTTACATTTCAATTCAGAAATTCTCACTGCAGTACTTACAAAAGGGATGCTACTCTATCCCATGCTGTGCAACATATGTGTTGCCTCTAGGAGAACAAAATGGGACCCTGTAGCTCCATACTGCCACTCCTACTACTATGTGACTGATGAAGTAGTCCTGTAGAGCAAAGTGTTGAGGGCTCACCATTGGCAAGGTTAGCCCAACGCTCAGCAGCTGTTTGCCTTCCCAAAGGCGTCAGCCATCGGATGGGAAGTGCAGGCTCACGTCACCCCTAATGAAAGCAAGACCTGCCCACAAGAAAAAATCAGAACTTCTAAGTGCCACGAGGGAAAGTTACCCTGTGAGAGTACGTGACAGGTTGTCAGAGTACCTTGGAGTTACACAGTCTGCTCCAAACAGTCAAGTGTTCTGGAAGCATGACGTGCAAATCCCTGGCCATCAACACTGGGAGCTGTCCTCATTAAACACACTTGCAAATAAAGCAGTAAAATAGAACAGACTCCTTCCTAAGAGGCCTTTAAAACAATTAAATCAAATCAACAAACATCTACATTTAAGCATCGGCTTATAGTCCTTTAAACATTGAGAGCTATGTCCACTGTGTATGTGGAGGGCTGCCTCAAGGGTGGATGAAGAAGAATGCCTGCAGGCCTGGCCCCAGTTATAGCCCCAGTTCATCCTGTGCAGCCCACAGGACTCAATACACCCAGGTGCACCCATGAGGTTCCTGTGAGGCCAAGACACAAGTGCAGGCATCCTCAAGAGGCAGAAGGACTCCTACTGACACCTGCCCTTGCACGGACACCTCCCCTGCACTAAAGGAGCTGAGGAGGTTTCAGTACGAGCCTGAAGGCAAGTGCAAGCTGAAGTCAGTCACCCACTGAATGATACACTGAATGACTGCCATTGAGCTCCATTGTTCTATTACACACAAAGCAGATGTTAAAATGAGTGTTCCTGCATCATCCATAAAACCTCTGTGAAGGCATCCTCACAGCCCTGAGGCATTATCACTTTGTATTCTCAATCTGCAAACCACTGCCAGCTAAACAGCAGGTTAAAGTTGGTCTATATTTCACTTTATAACACAGGGAACAACTGGGATGTTTTGGAGAAATTGATGATGTACAATGTGATTAATCCCGTGAAGCTCCCGAACCATTAGAAGACAATGTGTGCTTGACATTCACTATGTACAGATAGACACACCACAGCTTGGAAAGACTCCAAGAAGCATGTAAGCCCAGAGGTCTGGCTTGCAGGGCACAGGCTCTGAAAGGTGAGAGGGGACAGTAACTCCTTAGCATGTTGTGCTTTCACAGCACAGCCTGCTTGTTTCAGCAAAGTCTACCCATAACCAGAGGAGTTTCAGGGGAAAGGTATTTCTAGCACAGAACTGTAGATTTTTACTAGGTTTTAGGAGAAGTAAAACAAAATACATAACAAGTAACCTTGTTTTAACACTCAGTATGAGCGGCTGTGTTTCGTGCATGCTGTTTTTTCTCTACTAACTGTTGTTTGTTTCTCCTGTGCATCTGTTCACATCACACACACGCTCTGTGAGCTGGGGATAGAGGAAATACAAATGCCTAAAGTAAACTGAAGGGCAAACCAGGACATTTGGGTGCACCCATCAGCTGCCACAGGGCGCAAAGTAATTCCACTTTATGCTACTCATATTTCCAATCTAAGGTCATAAAATCTGGACTCAGAAGCCATTTACAGCCCTTCAAGGAAAAGCCTATAAACTCCACCCCTTCCAGAGGTGAACATCCCATGCACAACCAGTAATAGCAGCTTTTCTGATCTGCAGGCAACTAAAAAAGATTTGCTAAATTGTTCCATACCAAGAAATGTCTACTTAGAGGTTTGAAAAATCATTATGTTCAGAGAATCCAGCCTGGTTTGGGTTGGGTTGGAAGGGACCTTAAAGCTCATCCAGTCCCACAGGCAGGGACCCCTTCCACTAGAGCAGCTTGCTCCAAGCCCCTGTGTCCAACCTGGCCTTGAACACTGCCAGGGATGGGGCAGCCACAGCTTCTCTGGGCACCCTGTGCCAGCGCCTCAGCACCCTCACAGGGAAGAGCTTCTGCCTTAGATCTAACCTGAAATTATTCTGTTGTCCATATTATAATTCTGTCTACAGTATCCTCAAAGACAGGTAACAATGATACTGTGCATGTGCACATGCACAGAAGTGTGTGCATACCTGAAGCCTCCCATTGAAGTATAAGGTTCTGACATGATAAAATGCCTTGAGTAGATAGGATTGACTCAACACGAAGAAGGGTTTGCCTGTACCTGAGCTGCTTTCCTTACACTGGAAACAGTTACCTTTGGCTGTACTGTAAATCCCACTTGACAAGGCCTTAGCTCTGCTCAATTTACATGAATTTCATTCCCACTCCCAGTCCAGCATCAACCTGGGAGGGCTCACAAACACAGAACTTTTAATCTAACCACAGGGAAACATTCTGCCTCTCAGGCCTTGCAGATCAGGGGAGTACCTCTCTTGTGAGGGCCACAGCATTCTCCAGCAGCAGCACCACAAGACAGGACGAGACGGTGTTTATAGGCATGCATGTCTACATGGGCAGAAGTGGAGAACGTGTGGCTTCTACCTCGTCTTGGCTTCCCCACTGCTATATAACATAAAGCAGATTGGGTGCTCTACCCAGCGGCAGGGAGGATATTTCTACTACTTACTATGACACCTGTGCAAAGAGGTGGTAAAGGTTTATTGTCTTACTCGATTTCATGCAACAAAAAGACTAAAATGTTTGGCTTTCTCTCATTATGCACATATTTCTGATGTGTTTTGCTCAAGAAAAAGAAATGTATAAAGCAGCAATGTGACCTGGCATACAGATACACCACTCACTGCCTGTTTCTCGAAGACACCAGTAAATCCAAAGTTGCTAAAGGAATCCTGAAGCTGTCAGTGCAATAGGTTCTGTACTGTGAGTATATCTGTGGTCAAACTAAGCACAAGACAGTTGTTTTGTGTTTCTCCATTTCTGGACAACAAGATGCATATTATAGCATTTCTTTAGACAATAAAACAATGCTCCCAGATAAATACTATTCATAATAATTTCTGAATGATGAGAGTTTCAGGTTTGCTGTGTTGGGTATGAAAATCAAGG